TGTACTTGGTTTAAGTGGATACTGTGGCTGATAGCCTATAGAAACTCGGGTACGGTCATCTCCTTACTTATGAGTTGTTCACACATTCTTTTGAGTTTTGCTGATGCACAATTGTTAGTTTTTTAACATGTTTACAAGAAAGTTTTGTCCACTCTATAAAACTGAAGTGGTGGGGTTTTGTCCACTCTATAAAATTTATGTCCGGATATACAAAAATACATGATGGGGATTTTGTCCGAAGGGGATTATACCCGTACTCCGTTTAAAAGATATGTATGGACATCACATGTAGGTGACATAAAGCAAAGGATATTAATTTGATCCCTTTACAAATTTACAAAAGTGATTAAACATTACTACTCTTCTGAACCTTGTTGTGTATATGAAAAAGCTATGAATTCAGTATGCATGAATTATTTCATCTGTTATCAAATACTTTGTTATCACTTCAACAAATATAAATAAACATTAAAACAAACTCTTTCATTTTTATTTAAAAGTTTATGTGTAACGGCGTCGACATTTTTTTTAGCAGAAACATCCCTTGATGTCGCCCCAGCCAGTACCAACGAGTTTCATGTACTTACAGTATGTGTTACTGCATCGTGTCACCCCCTGTGTGTGACTTTGGGGGTTATAACCGGTTATAAATAATTTAACGGATAACGTAGGGGTCTGAGAGAGAACAGCCGAATTATGACACTTTGTTTGATGCGCGTCAGACTAACTTAATTTGAGTCGGCATAACTTTCTTGATAAACAAGCATTTTACATGCAGTTTAAAGCACATGAAAGGAATTCAATTACGCTCAATCAGCGACTCAATAATCTTTAATTACGTAATATGCATGGTGAAAAAAGTCGCATAAGTTGTTCAACAAGACGTCGACAGTAATTTGTTTTTAGAAAAGATAGAAAAAATCTGAAACTGTGTCCACCAGATATTATAATTATGTTTATATTCCAAGAGTTTGAAAACAAAAAATAAAAAATGACTTTGATATAACGATTTAACATTATATATTTTTTTATCAAAATCAATAATTTACAAAGACATTTCCTTTGAAATACGATATTTTTATGAAGATCAAAGACATTTAATGCACAAAATTTAAATATTAAATTAAAGATTATAAAGGGGTGGCAGGAAAAGAACTATATACAAAAACACATTACATGGAAACAGGTCATTGAATATCATCGGGCCAGATAGTGTAGTGGTTATGTTACTTGTCTTGCATACGGAAGGTTTTGAGTTCAAATCCAACAAAGGGGTAATACTTTTTTTAGGCCCTTTGTATTTTTTTAATTTCTTTTTCAATTTATAATTTTTTATACATGTATATATAATTCTGGATACGGACAAAAGCCCCCTCCTCGGACGAAAGCCCCCCCCCCCACGCCCGTCTAAAAATGACAAGGTGGACAAGAGTCCCCCCCCATGAATTTTCCACATAGGACAAAAGCCCCCTATAAAAATGTAAAAGTAGAACAAAAGCCCCCCATTCATAAAAAGTAAAGGTAGGACAAAAGACCAGTCAGTTTAAGTTTATTTATACTCGGCGCCGGTATAACCATCTGTCCGAGAATATAGCATCCTTGCCGGTCCACTAAGGTAGCCACATCGGGGATGTCTTTGTCAAGCTGAATCTTCCTGTAGCCTATTCTTCGTTCGTTGGGTGGTAGAGGGAGTACGACAATACTGGCCAGGCATCAAGTTCCATACTGACGAAAAAAAAACGGCTCCCATTAGCGCCAACCCTCCAGGTTAGTCACGACAGGTCAACCAATCACCTCTGGTACTTAAGATGACTTGACCTTGACCTGCCGTGTGCCTTCTCCTCGACGTGCACGCCTCTGGAGGGATTGGAGAAGGTCAAAAGACCCCATCAAATTACATTTAATGGCATAAGTACTTTCATAAGTTTTAGCCATTTTGATTGTGATGTATATGTTGTACACGTGATTAAACGAAAATGAACTATTTGAATTGAAATTAACGAAGCTGTTTCATTTGTCACTAAGAGGTTAAGTATCTGACAGACCTGCGATCAAAATGAAAATAATGCAAAAGGAATGAGTATTTTCAATAATTATTTGTTATCTAATTTCATATAATTGCCATAACTTATGTTTAAATAAATATTATAAACACTTAAAATCTAAAAGTGGTTACCAGGCTTCTGTATGGGGCTAAAATATAATGTGAATTGTATATCATAAAACATGTTGTTGTAACTTGTAATAGAATGGACATTTTTCGCGAAGAAAACTTTGTATAATTTATTTGGCAAAGATGTTGTTTCAGAAATATTATTAAGTGATAACGAAACGCAGTTTTAAAAACTTATAGGCAGACGCCTGTTTTATCATAACAAAACAGGAATGTTCATAAACATTTTTTAAGAATAGCAATCGCTTATGTTTACTATTGCATTAAAGACGATGACTTTGCTTTAAAAGTACCATGTTAAATATGCTTTGTCATAATTATGTTTTCTAGAAAGAAAGAACGATACTGGCATCAGTGATAGCTGTATAAGCATCTTAAGTCTATCACAAAAAATTTGTATAATGAAAATGTAAATACTTATGTACTCGTATAATCTATATCTATTTGAATGATAATTATTATTTTTAGTTTCCAAGTTTCCAAGTTTATTTGATTATCTCAATATGCATACAAATAGGGTTAACCCTAACCCTAACCCTTTTTACAACATTAAAATTTTTGGCCGCTAGGCCGCCAGGCCGCTGGGCCGCCAACTTCACAAAAATGACAAATTAAAATAATTTCTGAAAGTGATTTTTTCTTTAGATATATCGTTTAAATAACAATAATTATCTTTAAAACTTCATTAAATGCCGTTTTATTGTTAAAAAAAATATTTTTACAACATTAAAATTTTTGGCCGCTAGGCCGCTAGGCCGCTGGGCCGCCAACTTCACAAAAATGACAAGATTAAAAAAATCTCTGAAAGTGATTTTTTCTTTAGATATATCGTTTAAATAACAATAATTATCTTTAAAACTTCATTAAATGCCGGTTTATTGTTAAAATAACATTTTTAGAAGATTAAAATTTTAGGCCGCTAGGCCGCTAGGCCGCTAGGCCGCTGGGCCGCCAACTTCACAAAAATGACAAAATTAAAAAAATCTCTGAAAGTGATTTTTCTTTAGATATATCGTTTAAATAACAATAATTATCTTTAAAACTTCATTAAATGCCGTTTTATTGTTAAAAAAAAAACATTTTTACAACATAAAAATTTTGGGCCGCTAGGCCGCTGGGCCGCCAACTTCACAAAAATGACAAAATTAAAATAATTTCTGAAAGTGATTTTTTCTTTAGATATATCGTTTAAATAACAATAATTATCTTTAAAACTTCATTAAATGCCGTTTTATTGTTAAAAAAAACATTTTTACAACATTAAAATTTTGGGCCGCTAGGCCGCTAGGCCGCTGGGCCGCCAACTTCACAAAAATGACAAAATTAAAAAAATCTCTGAAAATGATTTTTTCTTTAGATATATCGTTTAAATAACAATAATTATCTTTAAAACTTCATTAAATGCCGTTTTATTGTTAAAAAAAACATTTTTACAACATAAAAATTTTGGGCCGCTAGGCCGCTAGGCCGCTGGGCCGCCAACTTCACAAAAATGACAAAATTAAAATAATTTCTGAAAGTGATTTTTTCTTTAGATATATCGTTTAAATAACAATAATTATCTTTAAAACTTCATTAAATGCCGTTTTATTGTTAAAAAAACATTTTTATAACATTAAAATTTTTGGCCGCTAGGCCGCCAACTTCACGCCGCTAAGCCGCCAGGCCGCTGGGCCGCCAACTTCACGCCGCTGGGCCAGCAGGCCGTTAGGCCGCCAACTTCACGCCGCCAGGCCGCTAGGCCGCTAGGCCGCCAACTTCACGCCGCCAGGCCGCCAGGCCGCTAGGCCGCCAACTTCACACATCTGTGCAAATGCAAGTATACGTAGAATCTGATCTGTCACTGCTTGTTATCAAAAATCATATTGTAAACAACCTTTTAGGTTAACGGTTCTTACAGAATATAAATGAAGGATGCGATATCGTCACGCGTGGCAACGTGCACTTAAGTAAGTAAAACCAAGCAAGAGCGACTTGCTGGGTCATATGGGGGTTGCGTTCATTGAACGCCGCCTTTCCTTGTTGATCTTGTTTATCATATTTTAAGTTTATACATTTTACCCAAAATTCATTGTTTACACACACCGGCCTCTCAAATATCGACCTGTGTCTTACGACGCATTACTCACCCAAAATGAGGGTAAAAAGAAGTCCGCGTAGGACACTTTAATTTTATAAAACACAACATATCTTTTTAAGTAATTAAAATCATTTATTGCTTTCAAGGCATCGCTGTTTTCCAGAGTTCGATATTGCAAGTGCAATTGATAGTTCTACTGTGTTACTATTTATTCAAATATTCAAAACTACTTCCACTTTCAGTTTTAATTTAAACTAACAATCAACGAAATACTATCACGCGTGTTGAACGAAACTGGGTTTGTAAAACCAATAAAGGATTGTCAGAAGGAGTGTTTGGTTCATGTTTTGAGTAAAATTGATGTAATGGCTATTATGCCAACAGAGTATGGAACAAGTTTAATTTTTCAACTGGCCCCATTTGCGTTTGTTCCATCACTTCGGTGATCAAGCCGCCATGTAAAATGAAGTGCGTTCCCATCATGCTTAGAGTGGTTTCACACAGGTCAGTAAGACTGGTGTACATAATGCCAAAAATTAGACAATTCTAAAGAATTCGTTATGCTTTTGCTAATTTCGGATTATTTGATTAAGTTCGACAATTGGAAAATATTGTCATACATGTATATGTGTCATACATGTATATGTATATGTTGATATTGATCATACGAGATATTAAAAGGTCATCTGCACTAGTGAGTTATTTTATCTTCAGTTATCATGTAAAGTTACATACAATATGATAATTTAGATGTATGTATATAAAGTTTACATATTTTAGAACTAATCACATGTCAGTGTGAATTTTAGTGAAAATAAATAATTTTATTTAATTTTAATAATGAATGGATTTCAGCTGCTTGGATTACTTATGATAGGTTGTTTGTCTAGATAAATTATAATACTGCTCGTTTGTAATGTCAGTTGTCATTGAGCAATCGTAACTTTTATATAGACAGATGTTGTCAATTAATACAGGATTTTCATTTTTCTTCTTATATTTTGGAATATTGCTGCATTGCTAAATAAGAGAGATCATTATGGTCTTGTATGAATCAGTGTTTGAAATTTACCTCCCGCCAAGCGATTTGGTTCCATGCTCCAAACCGTCATATAACCTCAGTCTATATAATCTTCAAAAATAATGATGTTAGTTTCATATACTGAACAATGATACACAAATTTAATTTTGTTGCTCAGATAACTTCTTTTGCTTGAATATGTGATTCATTAATTACGTGAATTCGATGTGAAAAAGATACTAGTTATCTGGCGTATAAGTGCCTACACAATTGCATTTTGTTCTAAAGGAACTTTTCATTCATTTTTAACGCAATATAGTGCAGATGTTAAATATTAAAAAGTAAAATGTCAGAGGGAAGGTGATGAGGTTGTACTTTTTTCGTTTTAACATTTTCTTTGTCGAATAAGTCAAGTACTTGATTTTATACTAAAATGTCATTTAAAAAGAAAGCCTTGTTGATGCTAGTCTGTCTCATTGCCAGTAGAACTGTCCGTTTTTGATAATATTGTACAAACAAATGGTGTTAATTGAAAGCAACCATGTGATTTTTTCAGGCACATTTGTCATTGCAGTGGACTTTCATGAACATTCAAAACAAAGAAGCCGTACGAAGCGATTCTTATTCAATCGATATCAACCTGACACCCATAATGGAAAAATATCTCGTATGTGAATAGTTATCTATGTTTTTTAGCTTTCATTGTAAGTATGAAAGGTTAACACATCGTATAATAAGAACATACTTCAAGAGTTAAGAAGCTGTGGATGTTGTCCCTTTCCATGTCTAAACTTTCGCCACAGCTATATGAAAATCGATTTGACCAATGTTTATGATTTAAGAAATTATTAGATACAAAGTACAAGTTGAAGGAAAAGGCTTCCCAGTAGTTTAAAGAGTTGTTGCTATAAAACTCATCACATGCAATTAACAGTGGCGTTGCCATTATCCGACAATTAAACACTTTTTGAAAATATATTTTCTATTACAAAAAAGTCATTCCTCAAGTATAGAAGATTGAATAGATATTTTGTGATTGATATGTTGTATATTTTTCAAAATGATATTAAAAGCTCCTTGCCTACCTTGATCACTTATAATTAATTAAGCTCTTTGTCTACCTTGATCACTTATTTGTTGCAAGTGAACGATATCCCACTTGCAGACTATTTTTCTTATGCTAGTGTACAAGTTTATCTAATTACCCTGTAAATAAAATAGTCCAACATTGATTTGAGTGAAAACTGTATTGTTTTCCAATTCAAGAATGAATTTACATCGTCTAACAGAAACAGTGTCTATAGCTTGATAATTGTTTGAAATTATTGGAGAAAAAACTTACTCTGTATGTAAAGTTTAAGGTCAGACACTTCTAAACACGTGCCTCTCACCGCTGTATGTTTGAGTTGCGCCAGCTTCGGATGTTTCATGTAAGAAAGCTATACATCCCGCGGAATGTCGGTGGTTCTACGCAGGTACCCATTTGTGCCTGAAATGATGTAGATAAAGGCACCCGAGGTCTTCCTCTACCAGTAAAGCTGGAAATGACCTATACTGTGTTAAACCCAACCAAAGAATAAAGTATATAAAGTTAAATTCCAACGGAGATGTAACTTTATAAGACTTGAAATAGAACAGTATTAAAAACATATATTCTAATCTTGACTTTAAACCTTACAGTGGAACACATAATCTTTTTTCCCAGGATGTTGTAATTGCGATGATTTGGGTAACGGTACATCGTGTTATGAAAGGTGTAGAAGTGGTATCCAGAGAGACGATTCCGAGCACTGTACATATGAAATGTGTTCAGTAACGGTAACTCTCATTATAGGCAAATTTTACCTTTTATCCAGGTAAGTCATTATAATCCTTATTTGAACCAAAATCTGAGAGGCTTGATAACCTTCAGAGTACATGTAGTATGTTCACAGTAGATGAATTCTGTAATCAGATCTAAAGTAATGAAAATATTCTGTAATCCCTTAGATTATTTGGCATCCTTTAAAAGTTGTAACAGTGATTTCAGCGTTCCCACTGTCAGTTAAAAAAGCTCGCCTAATTTAGCTTTAGTGTAATGTTACTTCAATAAAAAACATACATTGTAACATAGACAACATTTGCCGTTATGAAAGTAATGGGAATTCCGGACCTTCTCGGTCCGTCTTAATTACATATTGATCTACCAGAAGGCCTATTTAAGTCTTATAAACAATATTGTAATAAAATGATTATTCTTAACAACTTTTTCAGTATGAGTCCAATAGGACATCTTAAAAAATCTCACTGTCCGATAACGAAGTCTTCATATCACGCAATTTGCTCTTTCCATGTGTAATATGACAATAATTCCTGCAATAAAATGTTACTTCAGGTGCGAAAACAGAAATTCATGCCTTAATAATGTAACAAGTATTGATGACGCGAAAAATAATAGATGTGACTCATTGAAGAAAAGTGACATGGTAGATGGTACAGTTTGTCGTTACTGTTGCGAGTCTTATAACAACGTTTCATCAATAGCATGTTTAAAGAACCTGGAAACTATCATCAACCATACATATAGCCAAAATGCTGGTAAAGCATTAAATAGCACAGGTATTTTTTATATTATAATGTATATGACTTTTATTTAAAAAATATTCGTACATGTATAATATGAAATGAATATTTAATATGATGTAAAAGGTAACACAATTCAATAGACTGGCTGTCAGGATAACCGTCGAATGACATCAATAAATATATTACCGTGCTATGTATGGAATGCCTTATCTTGCCATTTATTTCTGCTATAGTGCAACTAGACAGCACTGCTAACTATTTACAATTATTAGCTATGAAATTGTATTGTTATATTATTAACAGTTTACAATTTGATTTATAAATCAAAATTACTGCTTATCAAACGGATTGTTCTGAATAAGACTTTATTTTATTGTAAACAAAGTGTTCAAATCTTTAATATGTATATACATTGTACATTATTTTGAAAAAAAAAGAAGTAATATTCAACATGTGAAGTGTGGCTCTATGGAATGCCTTATCTTGCCATTTATTTCTGCTATAGTGCAACTAGACAGCACTGCTAACTATTTACAATTATTAGCTATGAAATTGTATTGTTATATTATTAAGAGTTTACAATTTGATTTATAAATCAAAATTACTGCTTATCAAACGAATTGTTCTGAAAAAGACTTTATTTTATTGTAAACAAAGTGTTCAAATCTTTAATACATTGTACATTGTTTTGAAAAAAAGAAGTAATATTGAACATGTTAAGTGTGGCTCTTGCTAGCTAATATAATTGATATTACAGATTTAAAGTAAGAAAGAACGTCTTAATTCTTACCATAATAAAGCGAGACTTCTCAGTTTACGAATTATTCTAGAAAATCCCGAATATCTATATAGTTTACAAATTAAGTCATATTCTAATTGTGATATTCGCTTTTGCCTATTTTTTTGTTTCTTTATTTTATTAGATGAATTTCATTGTGGTTCACGTTTTTATAATTAAAGCCATGATTGTTTTTCTCTACAACACATATCGATTTTTCAGTAACATCATCTACATCCTTCTCAAGTTCTCAGTCATCTACAACATCTTCAAGCCCTAGATTATCAACAACCTCTCCAAGTTTTTTATCATCAAACTCTTCAAGTTCTCAAAACTCGCTTCAATATGCGAAATTAACTTGTGAAACATGTATAAATAGCACCAATTGTAAAATAGAAACATGTAAAACTAGTGATAACTACTGTGAAAATGTTGTCAGTTTTGACAATGGGATACAGAAAATCATCAAAAAGAGGTTTGTCTGTTTGTTTGTTTGTTCGTTCGTAATGTCCTTTGCTTTTAAGATTAAACTAATTGTCTAAAATGTTTGGTTTGAAATAATACGTCCTCAGTATTTACTTTTATAAATGTTTTTTTAAAAGAAACAATGATAGACACTTCATTTATCAAAGCTACGAGGAAATATGTGTCCATTGTTATTGAAAGTGATTCAGTATCCTATTTCTATTATAGAGCCTCTTTTGATTTCTTTAAGCTGTGCAACAATATTTGAATGTAAATATGACCACTCAATGAGGAACAGTGAATGCGACCCGACCAATGCTATAAACAGTACGAACTACATGACATGTCACTACTGTTGCCAAGCAACAAGAAACTCTCCACCTTGTAATACAGATAATATTCCGAAACATTTGGATTTGTTTGACGGTAAACATATATTACAAGTATACATAAAGCATAATGCTCTTTTCTAGTAATGTATGTAACTTCTTAGTGGAATAATGAAGTTTATTTAAATGTGTATATTTGTATTTAAACGAGTATTTAATGATTAGTTAGAATTGAAAGTTGTGCTTATAAAGTTTAAACTGCATTGATTCATGATATATAATTTGTTTAAAATAGTATTTTATTTTTCCTTTCATACTAAAGAGCGTATAAATGTTGTATAAAACTATATTGATCAACAATGCCATTTGTTTAACTTTGCAGATAAAACGTCAGCAGGCCCATCGTTGAAACCATCTTCTTCATCAGAAACCGCACCTGGTCATTCACTAGAAGAATCTATGTCTACAGCATTGTTATCTATTTCTTCAGAATTACCATCTGATCACACGACAAGACCATCAATTTATGCCTCTGTGGCATCCAATCAAACAACACCAGGGATTAGAAATACAACTTCTCAAATTTATAATACTTCAACATCTTCAAACAGTTCAAACACGAATGGATCAATATCGCCTTTGACATTCAACTCTACTAAACCATACCCCAATGGGTTTAATACAACTGTTAAGACGTCACCTTCAATTATTGTCTCTACATCAATATCTGAACTATCAAAATCTACAACGCAGAAGTCTGTAAAATCTTCCACCAAAAAATCTCCCTTTACTTTATCACCTTCCAAAAGTAAGTATTGATATTTTACCGTTAATTTGAGTTCCATAAGAACTAGTAATTACTGTTTAGTTTAGTTTTGGTGATTGGAATTTAAAATATCCATTATCAATTGATAGCGGGCAAGTAAAGTAAAAAAAAAAAATTCTTCTATATAAGAACCAACACATCTTCATGTTATACATACAATGTATGTTTTAAATATCTTTGGAAGAAAATGCTTTTTTATTTACAATTACTAGAGCGGATTCATCTATGTATACGAATCATGCGACCGTTCAATGACAAACGTTTCTAATAGTTCTATCTAATTTAGGTATCAGATGTAAAGTATGCAGTGGACCTGATTTTCTATGCGAGAAGCTTTATTCTGACCAGGATTGCGTCTTCCCAAATAATTACTGTCTAAATACAGTAAGAAATTATTTAAATGGCACGAGATCTGTAAATCGAAGGTATGTCACAAAGCTTTGTTCATGCAGTCTTCCTGCACCACTTGACTTGAATTCCAATACAATGTATCGTCACAGGCGCGTGACCAAGATATGTAAATATGGTTAGATTCTATGATTTGAAGTATATCTATAAAACATAACTCTACTAAAAATATTTATTCGGCAAATTCGCAAAAAGTGGGTGTAACTGCTGCTGTTGCTGCTGTTGTTGTTGTTAACATTCTGAAAGCCATGATTAAGACCACATGTTTTTTCTTGTTGAATAGATTACTCAAATTATTCATCTGCATTGAATATAACTTTCTTACAAACTGTTTTTAATCTAATGCCAACAACCGTACCCAATATCTCAGTATATTATAAAATCTTATGTTGTACTAGGAAATGATTTCCAATGCCCTATAAATAAGATTGATAAAAATAATCTGTGCCTTGGCCCCTACTAAACCTTTACCACAATTCCAGAAGTGAAAAGAGAACAGCCTTACATTTCTTATATTTACTTAAAACTTTTATTCGAAGATGCGATTATTATACATTCTTTATCCACGTTTTAACCATTGTTCTTCTTAATTGTAGGTGCGATAATTTCCAGAACTGCTACCGTAATTGGTTTCTCGGATCTTCTGATGTTGATAAATGTCGGCGATATGACGAACGTCAGATTGTCACACTCGAGTTTGACTGTACATTTTGCTGTATTCAGGACGGCTGTAACAAACCACTGAGGCCAACCGATGAGACGCTTTATAAAGATGTATAATGCACAGAGGAATATTAAGCACCCCTTTTTAATTCAGATGATAAAAAAAACAATAGGCAAATATTACGATGACTGTAAAGTAGATTTTTAAAATTATAGTTTTACAAACAAACTTTAAAGATTTTGTCTTCTAATGTGTTTGTTATTTATTTATTATTAAGAATGTTTTATCAGGTCCATATGTTTATATTTAAAATAAAAAATGAGTTACACAGATTATTCATGCACTGGAAAAAAAAACAATGTACTTACACTATTATGATATTATTTGCCTAAACTTTTGTATTATTTGAGACGTTTCCTCAATCAGCGTACAATGGTGATATAAATTGTACATAGCTCTTCCCAAGACAACTTCCAGCTATATAAGGACTTACCATTGTGACTTACCCAACAAAAAATTGTGTAACAAAGAGATTGGACACATTTATGTTGTAACATCGTTTAAGGCAATACATGTATATCTAATGCCTGTACTGAAATAAAGTGTGGTATATATAATTGTATGCTAGTATTTGTGACTAAGACACTTTAAGATACTATAATGTCCACTATAGCTTTATATGTTAGTCGATAAGCCCTATTAAACATTACATTACTGCTTACAGAAAAGTTGTCCGCAGTTGTTTATCATACAAATATTTTTTCCTTATCGTATTAAAAACTGATGTTGCCTGATAAGTTCTAAGCAGAGGTGTTGATTAAACTGTTCTGATCTTAAATATCAGTAAATATGAGTTCAACATTAGAAATGTGTGAATCTTTAAAAGTTCCTTTCACAACAACAGAGCAATGTAAAGACAGTTGACACTTTTCTTTTTGGTTTTCATCATTATACATTTGCTATAAAACAACATGTGTCTGTTCTGTATTTTTCTTGTTATGTGTGGTACTGATATAAACCAAATTATTTACAAAAATGTATAATCAATATTCTATTGTTTAAACATATATTTTCAGACAAAATGCGGTTTCTCACTCAGATTTCCCGGAAAGGAAAATCAATATTGTTCAAAGCTTTAAACCTGATATTTGAATAAATCGTTTTGATGCTATCGAGTATTATGTTCGAAGCACCAATAATTAAACAATTTTATTTATAAACGTCTTGGTTGCGAATATATTGACAATAAATTAGCAACTGTTGTTGTTCCCTCACTGTACGATTGCTTGAGGACTTGATAAAAAAAACGTACGGTTGCCTGGGAGCAAGCCATACAAGTTTGGTTACAATTAAAAACACAATTCTTGAACAGTTGGCCCATTTCAAAGGTTAAAATGGCATTGACTATGCATTTAAACCATAAAAAATAATATGTTGGTTTAATAAATAATGTTTGTCAAACTTTGTGATGGTAAATTGCAACTCTAGTATATACTTTAAGTGATTGAATTTAACTGCTGTTAACATATTTACATGCCATGATGTTCAACGTATATTTAATGTTATTGTAACTTCTCTTTTTTGTAGGTTAATACTAATCATTAAGTCATATATGTGTAATTCAACAAGATGTCTTAGACTGTAGACCGTTTTTCTTTCTTGGAAGCTGTTCATATCTAAAGGAATATAAACATTTGAAACGAAATGTAAAATTTTGATAATGGACATAACGACAAAGATAAACCACTGTGTCATTTTACAACCTAAGTTTTACATATTACTACAAAATGAGTCTTGTTATAAAATAAAAAAGTCATTGCAATGTTATCAAAATAGTTTATTATTATTAAGAATTGTTAAATACATTAGAAAATTGTAAACATAAATAAATAAATGAATCACAAAAAATCAGATATGATCACAGTATTAAAATAATGTCGAGTGTACCTGCTCAGCAATAACAAAATAAAATAAAAATATAGCAATAACTGTACATGTATACACGATGCAGAGATGAACTTTTATAAAAGTAAGTTTAAACAGGCAATATACAAAGCTATATTTAAGTGTAACATTGATGGGTATGCTTTATCTTTTCATATTCAAATTGTCGTATTCTTGAATTGTCACAAATGTATATTTATATTGTTTACGTATATTTAATATCAAAATGCAGTTTCTATTTAAGATAAGTAATATTTAATCTTCACGATTGATGACCAAATATTTATTAAATGAGTTCAGATGCCTTAAACACAACTTGTTGTGTAAAATTCAAATGTTTAAATTAATTGTGATAATAATAACAAGTAACAATTAATTGAGATCAGTAACAAATACGCCGGTACAGAGATGCCTTTTATGCTCTTTGAAAATCAAAATAATTCTTCAGTTGTGTGATGATTAAGGCCGGACCTCCATTTATAAAACTGTCACACTTATCACATTGAAGCTTTCGGCCACAGTGAACGACTTTTTTGTGATCTTTGAGGTGAACTTTGTAAGTGAAGTGTTGCTCACATTCGGTGCAATCATATTTGACGTCGTCTGACGTGTATAGTCGTTTTATGGCCGATCATAACTGCTTTTATGTTGAAAAGTCAGGTTACATTTCTCACATTTCTGTTTGGTGTGTTTAACATGCGATGATACGTGCCACTTATATGGAAGCAACTTGTTAAATCCTTTCTTGCAAATCTGGCATTCATATTTGAATTGTTTTAAATGCTCATTTTTTGTGTGCAAGGCCATTTCAAATTTAGACAAAAACTGCATTCAGCATACATCGCACATCAATGTAGTTTTACTTGCACTTTCGTCTGCATCAACATAAAATTTCTAGATTGTATTTCTTCCCAGTGTTATACTCACATATTTCACACGTAAACCGCTTTTTGTCATCTTTCCATTCGTATCATGTACATATATGTGTCGCGTTAAATTACCTTTCTTGTCGGTGCAATAATCACAGGTTGAACATTTATACTCTGGCATGGTCGTCGTTTAAACTTAAATTTCTTGAAAGCTTTCGTCAAGCCCGTTTAAAACAAACGAGTCATCCATGATCTGAAATGCAGTAGTTGTGGAATTAGAACTGTATAGAAACTGAAAGTTTTAAAAAGGTGTCGAGTTTGTTTCAATAACAGTTTTTTTTTTGTATTGAAACTTAATTAGAAGTTGCAGTGTTGAATTAAGGAATTTGTTTCTCCTTACTAGAACGACTTACAAACTCCTTATTAAGAATTTATTTAATTTTTAAATTAATAAATAAATAAGTAAATCAATCAATCAATCAATCAATCAATCAATCAATCGTTAGCTACACTACAGTTATTTATGATAAGGCAATTTGTTCAAGTTGTTTTCGCTGCCGCAAAATAAAGTGATATACAAAAGACATCCAATTGTAGAGGCGGATTGTAAACTGTTATCAATATTGATTCAAGATTAAAGGGCTTTTTCAGTGGAAATAATTCATTCAGCGGATGCAACTTTTGAATAAATGAGGGTA